CAGGGCTTTAGCAAGGATGATGGACGTTGATGATACATGAAGGAGACATATGAGACCAGCCATCTGCCAACATTATATAAATGAATAATGAACATTTTTCCTTTCTACAACCATCTCCTTTCTATCAGGAAACACAGCATGGTATAGTACCTGAATTATGTGGAACAAGAGAGCATCTTGAAGGCTGAGACACAGGAGTTCAGCACTGCTAAGTCAGCTAGGGAATTAATTGTTTCCTGTTATGAACCAATGTTCAATTCCAAATTTATCTCTGAGTTTCTAAGTAACAATTACCCAAGAGATGACTTGGTGCTAGTAAGCCAGCAAATCTACTCAATTTAATAGATTTTATTTCATATCCATAGTGGAAAAAAATAAGTTAAAATGTTTCTCAACAGCTAATTTTTTTTGGCATCTCAGTAACAAATTATACTAATGTGTGCACTTAAGGGGAATACCATGGGGGTTTTATGTAACCACCATATTTTGTATTTTTGAAAGTTTTGTTTATTGGTCTACAAAGTACTCCCTTTCTCTTGCAGTATTCTCCAGAAATTAATATATTTAAATCAACTTTGTTGATAACAAAGAGCATAACAGACGGCAAGAGCTCAGGATTTATGTCTTTATAAACAAAACTGTATCAGTCCCACTCTCGTTTCTACTCCATTTCATCACTAAAGTGAAATCTATAATAAATGGAGTAGTATGATGGGTTAGACATTTAAAAGAAAGGAAGTCTACAAGTTTTTCTTAATGGAAGCTAGCATACCATTTGGCTCTCTTGGGGACAATGAGATAAAATATTTAGTTAATGTTCTGTTTGGCATCCATCTCTGGCTCACGTTGCAGTGGGAGTTACCTGATTAGAAATGTGACTGCATTGCACAATTAGCAGGGGCCTGCCAGAGGCCACCACTCAGTACATTTTCTCCTCAGTTAAAGATTGTGTATATGATAAATTGAATAAATGTAAATGGTTCCTGTAAAAGAAATGTCACTATTGGCGGCTGCTTTTATTTCTATTCCATACTCCAAAAGAACAATAGTTAAAAAAAGATTAAACCAATGCCATTTCTAAAGCACCTCCTTCCAAACTGCTCAAAGTGCTTATTAACAACTCTGAAAACTCAAAGTCCCTGCCATTGAGTCAGAAACTGACTCAAACCAGACATTGTAGAGTTTTAGAAGCCTGTGAATCACCTGAGGAAAGACTTTCCATCTTTCTTCCTCAGAGTAGCTGGTAGATTCAAAATGCCAGAGTGGAACAACTTCCTTAGGTTAAGCAGCTCAAGCATTCTAAATTTTTTCAACTTCTTGAAAGCTGGAAGGGGAAATACAGTTCCTCTGTTCCCCCTCCTCCCCCTCCCTCCGTATTTTAAACGAGAAAGATGAGAGCCAAAATAGTCCTACCAATCTAAGGTTCATCATTTTCTTCCTGTCATAAAGAATAACTAAAATACTAGGATAATTCACTCAGATTATAACCAAAATCCTGAGCACAATGTCCCAGAGATTTAAGCAGAACTGAGACACAAATCTTGTTATTTAAGAGATGATCTAAGGTGAGCTCTGGTGGCCTAGTGGCAAGAAGCTGCACTGCAATCCCAAGATGAGTGGTTTGAATCCACCAGAAGCTCTGCTGGAGAAGGAGAGACAATATCCTCCTGATATCAGATCCATTCTGATAATATACACACACAAAATAATAATTTTTTTTAAAAAGAGAAATGAAAGATTGTACAAAATACAATAAAAATTAAAATAAAATATTTTTTTAAAAAAAGAGAGATGATCTAAAAGTAACTAAAACGATTATTTTTTTTTTCCAAGTGAAAGTAGGAAGGAGATTGGGTAATCGATATTTAGAGACTCTGAGTTAGAGAATTCTCAAATTTAAAGTTGTTGTTGTTGTTGTTGTTGTTGTTATGTGCCATCAAGTTGCCTATGACTCATAGCAACCCTATGTCCAACAGCCCTAAACCCTTCTCTATCTTGTGCCAATCTCACTCTCTCTAATACACCTGCCCCATTGAGGGTGTTCCTCTCATGCACTGTCCCTCCACCCTTCCAAGCATGACATCCCTCTCCAAGGACTGGTCCTGCCTTGCAACATGCCCAGTATTATATGCAATATCATAATTAAAGAATTATTATTGTACAGTTGCTAAAATGGACAAACTAAGGTTTAGAGAAGTTGACTGACTACCAAAGTCATAGGACAATGTTCACTCAGAACTTGAACCCAGTTCTCCCAAACTTATTTTACATTGTCAACCTGCTGCCATCCAAGATCATTATTGGATCCACTGAGGCATCAAGAATTGATCCATCCAAGTCATTAATAAAGCTTTGCTTTTGAATGATAAAAGGACTATGTGTATGTTACTACACATTGAAACACTGGCTGCCGGGCCAAGTTCCATATTGTTTTCATGGTTATCTCAATAACCACAGCTACAGAAATACATGATATTAGCAACCTCAGGTTCTCCATTCACTAGCCTTGAAATATTTGGTTAAATAGTGAAAAAAACAAAAAATTCTCAGTACCTTCAAGTCCAAACCAATTCATTGCTGACCTTACCATGGCTTTTCAGAAGTTGTTAATAATAGAGTGTAATTACCCATCTTTGTCTCTCAGAGCATCTAGTGAGTAAATGTGAACTGCCCATCTTCGGGTTGGTATTGCAACTCCTGACCCACTAGGCCATCAGGGCTCCCTCAAAATAGTTAAATTCCCTCACCAATGATTTTAGGTGGTAAGGTTTTCATGTTGCACTGGAGGATGGGAGAAGGCAAAAGGATTAAGTGACTCCCTGTAGATCTACAGAGAAAGAAAGAGCAGAGGCTACATTTTGGTTGTCTGAGAATCAAACCGAGTTAGTTCTGTTTATTGCTTCCTTAAACTCTGAAAACATTCTATATGCTAAGTTAAGCAATTCATTCACTAAAGAACAACTACCATATGACTTCAAGTGTATGAAATACCTAAAATAGACATAGGTACAAAACTCAAAATTTACAGTACTCATCAGGCATAGAACAGAAGGGGACAAAGTAAAACCAGTGCTTACAAATCACTGAGTTTTTATTCAGGATAATTCAACATTTTACAACAGATACTGGTGATAGTTGCACAATATGATTAATTTGTTTTCACAAACTGGATACACTAAAATCTTTAATTTGTAAGTTTTTTTAATTTGTAAATATCTTTACAATAATAAAAATGGTTTAAAAGTCCTAAATACAATGCCTATCATTTTCTGTAGAGGAGCTGTGATGACATAGATAATTTTGCAATGACTCAAAGGCTGAGTATCTTCAGTGGTTCGAATCCACCAGTAATTTTTATATATATAACTTTCTATAGAATCACTTCTATAGCTATCTTCTTTATCAATCTGTTTCTTAAATTTCCCCCCATCAATTTAGTCTGAGACAGTTGAGAATCATTTACACATCAAACAAAGAACAAGAAAGAGAAAGCTTTGTAGGACATTTTGCAACAAAAAGGTAAGGGCCTCTCCTGGGTTTTCCCCTAGGAGACAGAAGTACTTTTCCACTTTTTTGTTTCTTTTTGAGATGTAATAATTCTCTTTTTCTAACTACTTAAACCAAGCTTGGTGAGTGTGGTCTTAACCCAAACACAATACCACCCTACTTGCAGTGACTTCATGTATAATCCAACACAGTCAGCATCTGCAAGACTACATAGGCCCTCCTGTTACAGGTTAAAATGTTGGGGGTGGGGGTTCAGAAATGCATTGTCATTTAACAAAGAAAAAAAAAGACTTTAGATCTACAGATGCATTAAATTATCAAGGAATGAGATAGTAAATAAGCAAAAAGATTTGTTTAAGTTTTTTATATTGTTCTTCTGAAGTATGAGGTTATCCCCAGCCATTGTTGTTATTCTGTGCTGTCAAGGCACCTGCGACTCATAGTGATCCTGTGTTCAATAGCCCTAAACCCATCTCTGTCCTGGGCCAATCTTATTGTCTCTAACACCCCCACTATCCCAGTCACTGAATCAATCCACCTCATAAAGGGCCTTCCTCTCCTGCGCTGTCCCTCCATCCTCTCAAGCATGAAGTCCCTCTTCAAGGACTGGTCCCTCCTTGCAACATGTTCAAAGTATGTCAGACAAAGCTTCAGAATCCTTGCCTCCAAGAAGCAGTCTGGTCTCACCCTCTCTAGGATGAACTTGTTTGTTCTCTTAGCAGTCCATGGTATATTCAATACTTTTCTCCAGCACCATAGATCAAAGGCATCAATTTTCCTATCCTCCCTAGTCATTGTCCAGCTCTCTTACACATAGCAAATGCAAACACATCCCCTGCCATTAAAAAGTAGAATCTGTGCCTGATTCAATAATTAGTTAAGGGAAGTTAAGATTCTGGAGTTCTTGACACAGGTACTGCAAATAAATGCCACACATGGAAATGACAATTTGATGGCAGGCCAAGAAAATCCTGCTTTAGTCTTACTGAGTTTCCCAAAGAAGGACAGTGTAGGCAGTTTGCAGGCGCTTTTTGAGAATATGGAGTGGCTCAGCACAACTTATCCCCTTACTGGGTTTTCCTTTGTAAGAGCGTCAATCTGTATGACATCAGATTACAGTGATGTATATGCTGGCATAAAGAGGAAAAAGCCAAATTAAATACTTTTGCAATATGTGTATGATGAACAACTTTAAAGTTACTTTCTATAAACAGCAAAATCTAAGTACTGTATTTCCTTAAACTCTTACTTGTTGTAAAAATTAAACAATTGTTTTTCCAATCACGTCAAATTAAAAAAATAAGAAGTAAAATCTTTTAAAAGCGCAGTCTGAGGCTTTCATCCCCAGGACAGATCCAGTGCCCATGGGCAGGTACAACCTGCAGACTTTATCTAGTTAAAATCTTTAACAAAAGGAGTATATTCACTTCAGCAGAAAGGAAAACTAAATATCAGTCTCATGTAACCAGATCAAAAGAGTCAAATAGATATACCTGCAGGTTTTCAATTTCTTCTTTGTGTTCTCTCTTCAAGTGTAAAATAGCAGCTTGGTATTCTGTAAGATCACAAAAGAGGCCAATTACAAAGCAGCACAAATTTATGCATAGTATTCAGGTGAGCAAGATTTCACAGGCCTTCCTGCAGGTAAACTGTATAAATAAATGCCACAATTAGACATTAGCTCGTCAAGAGATATTGATTATTGAATAAGTCTGAAAAGAAATTAATTTTCCCATCTTTCAGCGTATGTTAAATTAGTGAGTCCTTAGAGTCAGTTGAGTAGACTTATGGAGAGGGTTAAAAAAGACCAAAAACAATAAAAAAAAAAGACGGGTGTTCCAGATAAACACTGGGTCATATGTTTGCCTTCAAGGAGAAGAAGGAAGTGAAGTCCCTCTAGACAACAAATACAGACATGCTATTATCAGACACACAGGATACAAAAGAAAACTTTCTATGTGAAATCAGAGAACTCTATATTTAACTCGATTTCCCTTCCAAAAGATAAAAATCTCCATTCAAATGCAAGAGTAAGTAAGCACCCAGGGCTGATTTTAATCTTTAGATCACCTCATAAAGTCAAGATCATTTGTCATTTTGATGAGAGACTTGAGGTTTACTTGAAGCTGAAAGGAGGATAAAAATAAATTTCTGGTCCAATTTTAGTGTGAGTCTAGTGTTTATTCCAACGTAAGTCCCAAGTGTACACAAGAACGCCGGCCAACCACTAACGCTACCATCCACTGGTTAAGTGTGAAGTAGCCAAGACAGCTTTATTTCCAGCAGGACAGCTAAGCGCAGTGGGGTCACAGGCAGCCTGCAGAGAACCAGAGAGCAAACGCTATCAGTACACATTTTTGTGGGACAAGCCAGTTTTTCACAAATAAGCATGGCAACTTAGTTACAAAATTTAAGAAATCAGACCTTATTTTAAAAAAGAGCTACTTCTCTAAATGGATTTCAGAAATCAGTAATGGATATTTAGATTCCATTTTAATAGTGGAGGAGAGGCATCTTTGGTAAAGACACAATAGAAAGAGTGTTATTACTAATAATTCCAGGTGGCCTAGTGGCAAGAAGCTGTGCTGCAATCCTGAAGGCACAGAGTTAACATCTACCAGCTGCTCCATAGGAGAAGAATCAACCATCTCCTCCCTGAGAATAACTGCTTCTGACTCAATGGTACACAACAGCAGCAACAACCATTCCTTCTGTGGGGAATGTACTCCACTGAGCTGTAACTCCATCAGCAAACTCTGCAGTCTCTATCTACAAGCCCTATCGTAATCAAATTACTTCTCATAATTTTCGTGGCCACTTTTACAATTAAAAAACCCACTCCATGCAGTTGATTCCAACTCATGCTAAAACTTCACTGGGTTTCCTGGGTACATCTATGGTGGGAGATTGCCCATCTTTCTCCCGTCAAGCAGCTGGTAGGTTTGAATCACTGACCTTTCAGTTAGTTGTTGTTGTTTTTATGTGCCATCGAGTCTCTTGCGACTCATAGTGACCCTATGTACAGCAGCCCTAAACTCTGCTCTGTTCTGTACCAATCGCACTGTCTCTGACATTTCCATCCCGATTACCCCAGTCACTGAATCAATCCACCTCATAGAGGATCTTCCCCTCCTGCGCTGTCCCTCCACTCTGCCCAGCATGATGTCGCTCTCCAAGGACCTGTCCCTCCTTACAACATGTCCAAAGTATGCTAGACGGAGCCTCAGAATCCTTGCCTCCAGGGAGCTATATGGTTTAACCCTGGATCTATTTGTTTTCCTAGCACTCCAGCACCACAGCTCAAAGGCATCAATTCTCCTTCTATCCTCTTCAGTCACTGTCCAACTCTCTATGCATAACAAGTGATAGCAAAGACCATGGCCTGTATCAGACACACAAAATGCACTATGCCAACAGAGCATATTATTACAATTCAAGTCACCCCTATCTTGCCTCTGGACTATAGCAGTAACCTAATTTAACCATGCTGCCTTCACTCTTTCTAATATGTCTGACACATTCTCACAGATTCCTGAGTAATCTAGTAAAGACATGAACCAAATACTCTCATCTCTTGATTTCCAAAGCATACAGAGTAAAATCAATTCCCTTCTGCAGTTCATAGGGTCCTTCATAATTTCAGTGTTACCTCACACTTTCTGTCACCTTGTCCATTACATTCCAAACACACTGACTTTCTTTCCATTCTTGAACTTGCCAAATTCTATTCTACTACAAAGTCTTCTTGAGACTATAATTATATATTCACTACATACAACAATACTGCAGGAATTAGTTCAAGTGTCTCATATGTAATAACTCATTTTTATCCCTCATATAGTCCCCTTAAGCATTATATCTGTCATTGACCTCTCTGCTGGAGGATGAGGAGACGGGTTCATAAAAAGATTAAGTATGAACTAGTTGCAGATCTAAAAAATATGTATAATGGTGGAAGAGTAAAGAATGATATACTATTTTGTGCAGTGTTCAAGATGGTTCTGAAAGACTTCTGTGACCATGTATATAACAGGTTCGGCTATCCCACTGAAACTTTCCAGTGAAACAAACTAAAGTTCGGCTATAACAGACATTTTTAAAACCTTCCTTTAAAAAGTAAAAGGACACACACACACACACACACACACACACACACACACACACACTCTTATACCAAGCCAAAATTTAAAGGAAAGTAAAATTCTAGAGCAATAATTTTTAAATTAAAGTTGCTTTTTTGACTGGGGTGGGTGATACATATGAACCTTGGTTTTTATAACACTGCAGAATAAGACAGTCAACAGGCAAAGTCTAAATCGGTCTAAAAATTATGAATTTACCAAAAACCTTTTTATCAAAAAACTAGACCCAAAAGAGCCATTGTCTCACAGTAAGTTTAAATTAGATATGAACTAGCCACAACCCTTTCTCATGATAAAATACTCAAACTTATTGCCACTGAGTTCGGACCAACTCATAGCTGATCCTCAAGAAAGTTCCCAACGCTGTAAATCACATGGGAGGAAGTTACTCATTTTTCTCCTGAGAAGTTGCTGTTGTGAACAAGCCTGACCTTTGGTTTAGCAACACAATTCACTGTGGACTAAGCTATCAGAGCCCCTTCAAAATTCCCCAAGGAAGTTTAAAGAAAATTGAACACCATCTAAGCATCTAAGCTAAGCAGCTATCCTTGAGGCAGAAGAAAAGAGATCTCAGCAAGAAGGCTATATTTTCAACAAAGTATAACAAAACAGAGAAAGTAATAGATACATGGTTAATCCAAACACTTATTGGGTAAATTAATAATAATATTATTTTGTAGTATTTAAAAAATAAAGATTACACTTGAATTGTGAAGATAATTTAGCAAAACAGAGGATACAGGTCCGCTAAGGTATATGCTAGGGCAATGGTAGTACTATTAAATATTGAATGATTTCAGATTTTTGGAAATCTGTGATGGCTTCTCGTGAAAGCAAATGAAATGATGGGAATGTTTCACAGTACGTACGCTCAAATTTGGAAGGAAAAGGGGAACATCAATCAGTTCAAAAGAAAATAAAAATGAGAGAATAAAGCCATTTAGATGAGGAAGGACAGATTTGAATAATATATGACATAAATGTAAGCTTAAAAATATCTATAATTACAATAATAGGAAATACATAAAAATACATAAAAATCCCTAAGTGAATTAGCGAGAGAAGGTGGTTTACTGCCTCTGAAAACATGCTGGAGGGGTCAGCGATAGAGGGGTGAGCCATAGGTTCAGTTGTGACTCGAGAGCACACAACTACAACAGTAACTACAGAATTATTACAAAACCAAAATTTTATATAATATATGCACACACACACATATATATACACACATGCCATGACTCTTCACTTATCGACATCGTTAAGTATGAAACAATGGGCTATTATCTGAAAATTGGCATATGTGAAAATGAAGGAGGAATACATCAGATAATAAAGTGAAGGGTAACTACCTCATTGCATATCTGTCAAACCACCCTAGCCAAGTTGACACACTAAGTTAACTTTCACAGTCCAACACCCCCCATCTGTTTATATCAGACCTACATCACAAAACACATACAAAAATATCTGAATAGTATAGTTTTAGCTTTAATATTTAGTATTTTATATACAAAATAACAGAGGAGATAATCAGTAAGCAAAGAGTAGATGTAAAGCACACAGTTTATAACATGCATCCAAAAGATGAACGGGACTGACATCAGGGTTGGGGTAAGACTGAGAAAAACTGGATAAATTATGTATACTGCATTGAAACAGATGAGGGAGAGAACAGTTTAAAAGCGATATATGATTGGGGATTATGGTTATGACAAGAGTCCAGAATGAAGGTTGCATAGTGGAGTGTACTCGGGGTGGGGTGAAGTGGGGGGATGCGGGGGTACTGTATACCAATGAAGGAATTTTTCTTTTACTTTTCCAAGAGAAGAGGAAACTTCGGGGGAGGTGTGGGCAGGGAAAAAAAGGCAACAATGAACGAATGGAAATCCAAACTTCTGTAAATGTTCATTAAAATAAAAGAAAATAAATTTTTTTTAAAAAAGAAAAAAGATGAGGGTACAGAAAAGTTACAAAAATTGTAAAAATTATTTACCAAGTAAACAGTAACCCAAGAGAGCAGGCACAACTGCATGAACATAAAAAAATATTAGACATTACATGTAAGACTCGACAGCAATTAACAACAACAACAACAACAAAGAGAGAGCTCATTTGGCCTAGTGGACAGAAAATTATGCTACCAAGACAAAGGTTGTTGTTGTTGTTATGTGCCGTCAAGTCGCTTGCGACTAATAGCGACCCTATGTACAAGAGCCCTAAACTTCGCTCTGTCCTGTGCCAATCGTACTGTCTCTGACACTCCCATCCCGATTATCCCAGTCACCGAATCAATCCACCTCATAGAGGGCCTTCATCTCCTGCGCTATCCCTCCATCCTCCCAAGCATGATATCCCTCTCCAGGGACTGGTCCCTCCTCACAACATGTCCAAAGTATGTTAGACGGAGCCTCAG